AACTGATAGAGTTGAGGGGGGCGTCCTGTAAGTACTGAGATTTGCCCACATTTACTTCTCATAGGCTTTATATACCCCAATCCAAAGAGGAGGGGAAGACATCTTTACAGCCATGCAAGGAACAAACCAAGTAATCACCTTCTTAATATCCAAACACTAAGTAACCACACCTTAGGTCAAAATGTCCCGTTAGCAGCCACACCTTGGGTCAAACTTTCTGTCAGATAACCTTGAAGGAGTAAGAACAGGTCTGAACTCTCCGACCTCCCTTTAGTCAAGGTGGAATAAATCCACTTCTGCGGGCTCCCACAATTGTTATTATCTGTAATCAATTATATTGTACAACGGTATCAACCTCAATAGAACCACTGACTCATTCCTTTAGACTAAAATATTTATCTGTTTAAATTAGACCTTGGATGTTTTGTTAATAAAAGGATATGACTTGTGTTTTTCTTCCCCCAAATTCTTTTTCTTGCATCAAGTTATATGATCCTTACACTCTCAACTCATTCTGCCTCCTCCTACCCCCTTAAATCAACTCAAATAAATTGAAGACAGGAGTATAAAGAATACTGAGGAGAAAATACATTTCACTTCTATGTTTGCTTTGTAAGCATAAGGACCTGGGTTGGATTTTCAAAATCCACACACACACACATACACACACACACACACACACACACACAAACACACACACACAGAATAAGAGTCATTTTTCCATAAAATTTATTTATTGGTTTATTTATTCTAGTGGATGTTAAGAAACTTTTACTGATCTAGTTTTAGGAATTTCCATTTAAAGGTGACAGAAATTGAAATTATAATAAGCTCTGCTAATGCATCCAGCCCTCCAGTTGTACATGCCATAGCTTACTTACTTTTGATGTTCTCTATTATTAAGAAACATTTAAGGAGCTGGAGACATGGCTCAGTAGTTAAAAATTTTTCCTGCTCTTCCAGAGAACCCTAGTTCTATTCCCAGTACCCATGTCAGGTACAACTTCCCAGCTCCTGGGGATCTGATGCCTTTTTCTGGCCTTGTGGTCACTGGCAAACGTGGTATACATTGTCGGAGCCCATGTGTATGTATTCGTTCTGCCATGACCAAAGGTCAGAGAGTTCTGCCTATTCTTGCTCCTTCAAGGTTACAATAAGAAATTTGAGCCAGGACGTGACTGCCTACAGGATGCTTGGTCTAGGGTGTGCTTGCTGCCTGTCCTGTGCAAACAGCAGAATACTTACCTCAGCATGCTTCAGGTACTGAAGAGGTGATTGCTCTGTTTGTTCTTTGTATCTTGGTAAAGAAATCTTTTGCGTCCCCCTCCCCTTTTGGAGTGGGGTATATAAAGTATACACTGAATTGCCCTTGGGACTCTATTCTGTGTCTCTGTCCTTTTATATCTCTGTTCCTTCTGCCTAATATTTCTAACCCACATGCTCCCACCCTGGAATGTGAAAACCCTGTTGAGGCCAGACCCTGACAGATGCTGGACTCTGAAAATACTTGTAAAAATTAAACACACGGACCTTTTTGCTTTTCTTGTATTTCTTTTCATATGTATGTTGTATGTGTTTGTGTGTGCACTTGTACATATGTGTACCCATGTGTGGAGGCCAGAGGCCAAACTCAGGTGTTGTTCTTCAGATGTCATCCATTGGGTAATAGCCTCAGGTCATGACGACTTGAGTCGGGCTGTACTGAGCAATAACCCCTTGACAATAAAGAATTGCTTGGCCCCAGCCTGACCCATTGGCTTCACCTGCAGAAACAATATGCCTGAAGATGGAAAACAGCCCACCCTGCTCCTAGTCAAACCACAAAAAAATAGCTATAACTTCCTATGTGTATAGATAGCTCTCCCAGCCCTGTAAATGGGCTCAGCTTTCATCCTGTGGAAAGTGTGGAGCTGCTTACTATTCCAACGAAAAAGTTGACATCAAGTCTGTCTGCTTCTTCTCTGCTTCTTTTTTCTACGTCTTCCTCTTTTTATTTTAATGAGCCAGGATCTCTCACTTGTTGAGGAACTTAATAATTGTGCTACACAATCCTGCATAATCTGGCTGAGTTTGAGAGGTCTGTGTGTCTTGCTATGGAGCTTTGTGGTTACAAGTGCACGCCACCACGATTGACCTTCTAAATGTGTGTCGCGAGAATTTACTTCAGGTCCCCATATGTACATAGCAAGCCCTCACCTTCTAAGCTCTCTCTCTCTAGCTATCTTTCTTGCATTTCGCTGCTTACATGTTTTGTTGAAAATCTTTGACCCATTTTCAGACTGATGTCCAACCCAGAAATTCAGTTGTTTGCTCATAATATTTGAGAATAGTTATTGCTATCAAATTAGGCTATGCCAAATAGGAGCATTTCTACTAATAT